GCAGCCATGAGTTCCCGCTCATGGTGGCTTACTATTCAGCGCTCCAAAACTAAAGGGATGTCCTACAGCATTTTTCACCTGTGCCTTACAGGTGAACAGAGGCGGTTGGGCAACGGAGACATATCGAATCGGGGAAGCTCGGACAAATGCATCGATTCTTTGTATGAATCCGTGAATTTCTGAAATAACTGTTGGAGGCAGCAGAGACAATTCCGAAATGCTAGTCCACAAACTGCCTCAACCTTTTCAACGAATTCGGTGATGTTAAACATTCAGCTTGTCTTAAACAACCGCCTATAAACGCACTCACCACACCAGATGTCACTGACGCGGAGATCTTAGTAGACGGTTACTCTATATTCCGAGCTGACTCGAAACGAAGGAGGGTTGGTGTGGTTCCCCTGCACTTACATCCGGCCTTATCAATGCCGATTGTCCCCTCTGATACCACTCCTGCACCTTTTTGCGATACACTGTGTCCGAATCCCGCTGCGCGGGTCAGATTCTCCCCTTCTCGTTTTGGTCTACCGTAGCCCCTCGAGCCCCTCTGAAGATGACCAATTCCATATATGAACCCATGAGCAACTCTCCCCCAACTACCACTTCACTCATCTCCTGCTGGTAAGTGACTTTAACGCCCCAAAGGCCTCCTGGATGGAGCTGCAGCGCGTCGAATCAAGCGGCGTTGATGGAATTCGTTCAACAGAGCGCTCGGACTCAAAATGTCGTTGCACCTACCGGATACCACGCAGGCCAGCTGCTGTCCCTCCCGGATTTCGTCATTACTTACGAAAGACGCTTCGCTGATCAGTTAAAATTAACGCTCCTCTGGGCACCAGCGACCACTGTATGCTGACCTTTGATTTCATCTGCTATTAGGCCGGAAACGCGGTTTCGGTACTTCTGCCGTGCAGACCTCTAAGGAATGCGCATCCTTCTTGAACGGGTCAAATTGGGACCAGCTCCAGTGGATGAATTATATAAGACCATTACCCAGAAAGCTCAGGAGGCTGACGCCATGTTCGTTCCAAAAAACCTAGCACGCATTGGAAGAACCGCAGGCTGCCAAAAAAGTTTCGGCGACTTCTGGGAAAAAGGTCCCAAATTTTTAAAAAAAAGTCAATTACAGGGGGTACAGAAGATGAGCTGACATTTCGTAAAATGTGGAGCCGCTTTGAATCAAAAATCTGCCAATGGAACATACGAAAACAAGCCACCATCCTGGACCTCGTTCGAAAAAACAAAAACGTCTTGTTCAAATACATGAGACATTGCCGCAGAAACAAGCCATTTGCGTTCCTCTTGAGGGACAGAAATGGAGACCCGACGAGTGACCCAACAGTGGTATGTGAGGTCTACAGAGAGCATTATGCGTGTCTATACTCGGCCCCAGCGTCCTCGTCACGTCCACTCTTGTCAAGTCGTAAGTAAACCGGCCTCTAATGGACTTGGTCTTCACGGTGGTGGACACTCGTCAACTCTTGCACATGAGCAACAAGAGCGTAACAAAAATGCTCGTTTATCTTTGTAATGTACTGCTCACGAGGTTGCCGAAAATCCGACGACAGGCCACGTGTTCGCGTTTATGGAGAGCCTAACCCAAGCCAAGCATGAAGGACACATAGCGGCTGTGCAGCGGACTAGGACCTTGTCAGTGTGTTCGAACAAATTACCAATACAAAACCACAAAATCACGATGAGAAAAGAATGAATAGTCGGATGAGGACTCACGAATCTGCAGATCCGATAGTGCACTACACCGACCCAAATGCAGTAACCGGCTGTGAAAGGAAATATTCGCTCGCAGAAGTTTCCCACTGATGGTTCACGCGTGAGTGATATATTCCACGACGGAAAGGTTATTGACGGCTAAAAAATGTCTCGGGAATTTATTTATTTATTATTGTGACGTTGAACAGTTGACACAAGTACAGATCACCAGTCCCACTGGTACGGCAGTCAGCAAACAGTCCAACGGAGCGTAAATACACTCGTTGAGGAAAAAGTCAGCAGGTCCCACCGAAAAATTGTGTTCGTACCATTAAAACAAACGTCATGATAAGATATGTACGACAGTTACAAAGTATAGTTTGGGTTCGGGATAAATGATAAATATGTAACAACAGACGCTACAGGCTTTACTAATCTGTGATGCACCCCTGTTTCACCTTGATCCTTATGCAAACCGAATCCGACTAGGGAAGCTTGGGTAAACGACTCTTCCTCTTTTATGTCCCGGTGAGTATGCGAGTCTGTGAGAAGTACCTGAACGAGTGTGTTTTCAGTAGCTGACCAATCAGCGGCGGGTAATATTGTGTTTGGGCTCCTGCTGACAGTCGACTCATGGCGAAGTGTACATTCAGTGGTGGCAGCTTTGTTCATTTCGTTATTAGTCCGTGTGTGTCCCTGATAGTCAGCTGCGATGCAGAAGAAGCGTGTTCAGAGTTAAACCTCCGGTTCTGTGAGCTTCTTAGACCGTTTAGTCAACTGACTAAGGATGGTAACTCAATCTTTCATGAAATTGATGTTTTCAGTCACACTAAGAGACAGTAACAACTTACTGCATACGGTTTCTAACCTACGCGTCAATTTCATTGATGCAGCTTCACCTCCCGCCCCTCCGAATATTGCTAGATCTCATCTCAAAGAAATTGTCAGTGCTTGTTCTTTGGATTCATCGATGCAGCTAACATCATTCACAAATGGGCGGTTGTCATTATGTGTCCCAGGTAAGTGGGCTGGAGACGTTCCCAGCCTTGACTTTTGTTGTGTCCTCTAGTGCCAGATTGTCTAACCTCGAAAGGGACCGATTACTTCCGGCAAACCGATACCGCATTCGACAATCGACTGGTTACCATGAGATTGGGTGAATAAGCAAAGCAGACACTACCTCAGTCAGTTGGTCAGCACAAATACCTCAGCGACATTAGGGTTAAAGAGCGCAAACCTTAGTCTTATCCGGGTGGAATAAGCTGAAAGCGTGCTGTGTTGAGCTTGAGATCTCGCATCGGTTAAGGCACGAACCCACTAACCGGTAGGTCCGTGAGTTGAACTCAACGTTGGGATCTTGATCACTCCTCTCTAGACCTGGGAAACCTGGCGTTATCCAAACCCTTGTGCTTCCATCGGGCAATGCGGCAGCTGGGCACCGATTATCGGGATGTAGGCGCCGGTGACAGGCGTAACGGTCCACCCCTGTTTGTTGACTTCAGCCACCGATGGCATGTTTACTTGGTCAGGTGGTTGGAGGCCACGAAGGACATGGCATGCAGCCTATCCCAAAAGAAAGAAAGCGTTCAGCTGTAGCACTCTTCCGGTGCCTAACTGCCATGCCACCCGAAGGAAGCACGAGGGCTGGGATACTGCCAGGTTGCTCAAGCCTAGACAGGGGAAGTCGAGTGGCGGAGGTCGGATTCGAACCACGGACCTTCCGGTCAGTAAATTCGCGCTCTAACCAATTGGGCCGTCTCGCCCCTCTCGCCTATCCCAATGAAACTCATGCTTCCGTTTCTCAACTAGGCTGCCTGTCGTGCGCGCGGTTCGGGTTTGGTGAGGTTTGCAAAGGACGTTGGGGGAAGTCGATGGCGGAGGTCGGATTCGAACCACGGACCTTCCGGTCAGTAAATTCGCGCTCTAACCAATTGGGCCGTCTCGCCCCTCTCGCCTATCCCAATGAAACTCATGCTTCCGTTTCTCAACTAGGCTGCCTGTCGTGCGCGCGGTTCGGGTTTGGTGAGGTTTGCAAAGGACGTTGGGTTGATCATGCCCTTGACTTAGCAGAGGAGCATGAAGGAGATTACGAGACGTTTGAGTGCTGTCGGTGCCATTCGCCTTCCGGAATGGGGACCGCGTGATCTCAACTGCGCCTGGTTGGAAACACTACAAGATATGGCTGTCAAGCGCCAGTATATATAGCTGGTTTACTACTGTCATTCGTGATAGTGGTGACTAACACCTTGCGAACCTCCGACTTGTGCAATGACCTCACAGTATTAACTTCGCCTTTCCGTGTCATGGCATTTCCCATCATGATCTGCATTGCAAGCAACACCAGATTAGAACACCGGTATTTCACCGGTGTACAACGAACTCAGTTCATTCGAATGAGCCCTATAATGGAAAGAAGGAAACGTGGGTCAGGGACAGTGAGATTCGTGCGTCATACTACCGTCACAGCTAATACAACTTCACCCCTTGCATTTTGTGAGGCTTGTTCAAGGAATATATCCTGCAGCATAATCTTGCAAGTCGTGCGTGCGATGCATATATCGAAGGACTGGGTGACCTCTGTCTGCTTTTCCAGTATTGCTTATGCTTCCTGCTCATAAATGAGAACAATATTGTCCGCATATTTCTGGTCAACAAAGTGCCCGCTCGTGGCACTCTAATCGTCGAGGGTTTTACGGACCACTATTGCTAGCATTCTTACTTCATCATTGACGAAATTAGACAAATTGAGTGGTCACTCGTGTAGGAAAGTTCTTGGAGAGCCCCGCGTACACATTTTGGTGTGCCAACAAATGTGTGAATACAAACAACTGAAGATATTCACGAACTTCTATGGTATATCTTCTGGCACAAGAGCATTGTGATGAACTAGTCAGCCGACTATATCGGACGCATTCTTGAACGCTTATGCGCATGTTGTTTCCCCAACACCTAATGGAGTGTGAAGATGTGGTCCCCACAGCCTTTACGTGATCGGAATCCGGCTTACTGACCTTTTATTCCGTTTCCACGCATCTTCGTAAGACGACGGAGGATAGGCGATGTAAGTCTGGCTGCAGCCGTGTTCAAATTAATTCCTTTGTGATTGCAGCACTCACTGCGAATACCATTCTTGAAAATGGGTATCAATATCGATTTCCTTTGTGATTGCAGCACTCACTGCGAATACCATTCTTGAAAATGGGTATCAATATCGATTTCCTTTGTGATTGCAGCACTCACTGCGAATACCATTCTTGAAAATGGGTATCAATATCGATTTCCTTTGTGATTGCAGCACTCACTGCGAATACCATTCTTGAAAATGGGTATCAATATCGATTTCCTTTGTGATTGCAGCACTCACTGCGAATACCATTCTTGAAAATGGGTATCAATATCGATTTCCTTTGTGATTGCAGCACTCACTGCGAATACCATTCTTGAAAATGGGTATCAATATCGATTTCCTTTGTGATTGCAGCACTCACTGCGAATACCATTCTTGAAAATGGGTATCAATATCGATTTCCTTTGTGATTGCAGCACTCACTGCGAATACCATTCTTGAAAATGGGTATCAATATCGATTTCCTTTGTGATTGCAGCACTCACTGCGAATACCATTGTTGAAAATGGGTATCAATATCGATTCACTCCTTTTGGTTTCGATAGTTTCCTAAACAGGCATTGATTGAGCTTTGGAAGAGATACGGAAATCCGAAGTCTATTGTCCATGGCTGCGTTTCGAGTCGGGAATCGGGCTGATAAGTTGCACTTGGCCGGTTGAATTGTTGAAATTGTTCAACTCAACCACTCAGGCACTGTTTTAGGGACAGATAAGCTGTAGACGTAAGTGATTGTTGCCTGTTTAAGCCTGTTGCGTGTCTCAGCTGGAACAGTCTGTGCACCCAGAGTTTTTCGCTTCCACCATCTTCTGAGCTTCCTGGATACGCTGGAATTCCCGAACCCTAGATATGCTCTTTTTCGCCTGAAGTCTGACAGTTCGCCGAGTGGTATTGTACTCTCGTCCAGGAGGTGTACGTGTCCGAGCTTCTAGAGTGTTGCTCGAGATCAAGTGCTTAAATCCAGTTGGTTGTTCCGCTCCACAAGTGATTGCAGCACTCACTGCGAATACCATTCTTGAAAATGGGTATCAATATCGATTTCCTTTGTGATTGCAGCACTCACTGCGAATACCATTGTTGAAAATGGGTATCAATATCGATTCACTCCTTTTGGTTTCGATAGTTTCCTAAACAGGCATTGATTGAGCTTTGGAAGAGATACGGAAATCCGAAGTCTATTGTCCATGGCTGCGTTTCGAGTCGGGAATCGGGCTGATAAGTTGCACTTGGCCGGTTGAATTGTTGAAATTGTTCAACTCAACCACTCAGGCACTGTTTTAGGGACAGATAAGCTGTAGACGTAAGTGATTGTTGCCTGTTTAAGCCTGTTGCGTGTCTCAGCTGGAACAGTCTGTGCACCCAGAGTTTTTCGCTTCCACCATCTTCTGAGCTTCCTGGATACGCTGGAATTCCCGAACCCTAGATATGCTCTTTTTCGCCTGAAGTCTGACAGTTCGCCGAGTGGTATTGTACTCTCGACCAGGAGGTGTACGTGTCCGAGCTTCTAGAGTGTTGCTCGAGATCAAGTGCTTAAATCCAGTTGGTTGTTCCGCTCCACAAGCGAAGCGTCCAGCATCTGGCAGGGTTGTAGACAGTACTTTCAGGTAAGGGCTAACGTCAGAAAGCCTGTTGTCCGAATGGAACTTTAGTAAGCGGTTCTGATAAACCTTCGCGTCAGAATCCGAGAGCTCAATGGCCAAGCGAGGTGGGTGCATCTTGTGCACTCCCGAAAAGCGCAACAGGAAGCAGCAACGGACGAGCTTGTGATCCGGAACAACATAGATGTTCCAAAGTGATCGACATCCAGTAAGTGATCCACGTTACCTATGGCTAATGGTGATGCGGTCCATCTGTGTTAGAGATTGACTCATCCGCGGAGGGCACCATGTTGTTAAGTGGCATCGGTTTTCCTCGGAAGTTGGTACTGCACAGGAACGGTTTCGTTAGAACGTAATTATAGCAGGTGTTCGCCATTATCCTGGCTTCTCGACTCCAGTTCAAAATGACCACTTAATTGCGCCTCGGCAGTGTGATTTCACCTATTTCTGCATTCCTGTCCTCGTGAACCACAGCAATATCTGAACTCTAAGGCGTCTAGGGCTTATCAGACCTAAAGCCTGTTGGGGCGTAAGCATATACAATTGGTGCACAGAACGGACTATCAGCTAGCAACCGTTCAAGCAGAGACATTTCATTTGGGCGAGATGGCTTAGTGGTTACAGCGCGAATTTACTGACCGGAAGGTCCGTGGCTCGAATCCGACCTCCGCCTCTCGACTTCCCCCATCTAGACTTAACTAACCTAACAGTATCTCAGCCATCGTACTTCCTTCTGGTGGCAGTTAGGCACCGAAAGGGTGCTAAAGTTGGGTGACTTACAACTTTGCCGACCTCAGTAGATTCAGAAACAGTAGTTTCTGGATCACCAGAGGTGCTCAGGCAGAGGCAAGCAGAAACCGATATAGAGGTCAGCTAAACAACCGCGCTTGGACTTTGAAACCCCGTTTCACAGAAAGTACATCGGTGGAAAATGAGTCCAGCGTACGTTCAAGACCAGTCTGTTGATCAGCTTCTTCCAGGTTGAGGACGTTAAAGGCTACCAGATAAATTAAGCGTCTGGGTTTGAAGAATTATCGAGGTGGTCACGGCTTAATGATCGGGTTAATTGAAGATGTTGCGGCTAGTGGCAGTGGGTGGCCCTCAGGTCGGAGTCTACAGAGGTGTCTTTAGTAGCGGAGTGAGGACGAGGAGAAGAACGACCCCCTAAGAGAACAAGGAAAGGGTGCCAGCGGTAGCCTGTTTTCGCTTATTTGTCCTGATGTACGCAACAACTAAGGTGACCAGGGTGATGGCACCACACAAACTGCCTAGCAGTGGAGAAGCAGGCAGATCCCATAGTTGAACAATTGTTTACTGAACTCTCTTCCAACAGAAGAGTGGCACTGTTTGAATTTCGAAAAATGTTGCCACCATCCCGGAAGGCCGTTCAGCCAGACGAATTATCATATGCCAAGCCAAACGTGGTGTGTACGCCGACCCTGAAGCCTGGTGGACACAGGAGGTGAAGGAAATGGAACAGTTCTAGAAAGCTAGAAGGTTCCCGGAAGAACTCTGTGAGCGAAACCACCAATAACGAAGGACACCTGTACGGCTAAGACGAGCACTTTTAATGCCAATTGTAGTGGCGACTTCCTGATACTCGTTTGGATCTTGGAACTGAAGTAGTACTCTGGCGGTGAGCCTGGATCCCTCTGCGGCTGCGGACGTTTGTAATTTCATGTTTTCTCGAACACTCCGAGCTCATGTTCCGGATAGCTCCAATCGTATTGTTCAAGGATGGTGATGAATTTCTCAGTCGGCACTTGTCTGATCTATTTGGCTGCATCACACTCCGTCAGGTACTAAAACAACGCCAAACGTACGATCCATCCGCAGTTTCAGTAGTTTTGGATTTTTAAGACGTGCTTGACACAATTCACAAAGAATGCCCCTGAATTTTATAAATACGATAAGCCTGGCTTTGCAGGCGTTTGGGGAACATTGGGATCTCTTCAAAATCTTCCGCACGCTGAGCTGGACAAGAATACTCAAACTCTGCGTCCCCATTTGAGTTCGTGATCGGCGGAATAATGAGGTTAACTGTGGAAGGTCTTCAACCCCTGGCGTTCAAAGCACTTCAGTTTTTCAGCTATAGACTTTATACCAAAGAGATGTTGGTTCCAGCTGCTGCAGTTTCGGTCACCAGAAGAAAGGGAGGGGTTGAGAAATACACTTGAGCATTTGAGGCGATGGCGTGATTTTCTATTTCGGGAAACTGAGCAGCTATGCACTGTTGGAAATATATTTGATGCACAAGCACCACTGACTGCGTGATTGAGCCATGTTTACCTGTGTCTTAAACCACTGGTGATGTGAGTCTCAGAGTCTCTGCGTCCCATTTGAGTTCGTGATCGGCGGAATAATGAGGTTAACTGTGGAAGGTCTTCAACCCCTGGCGTTCAAAGCACTTCAGTTTTTCAGCTATAGACTTTATACCAAAGAGATGTTGGTTCCAGCTGCTGCAGTTTCGGTCACCAGAAGAAAGGGAGGGGTTGAGAAATACACTTGAGCATTTGAGGCGATGGCGTGATTTTCTATTTCGGGAAACTGAGCAGCTATGCACTGTTGGAAATATATTTGATGCACAAGCACCACTGACTGCGTGATTGAGCCATGTTTACCTGTGTCTTAAACCACTGGTGATGTGAGTCTCAGAGTTCCCGTCCATAGAGGCGACAACTATCGACCTCACTGGGTTAGTGATTTCGTATCACGAAGAGACTGGACCTTACCGTGGTGTGACGGTTTGCGCACCTCAACGATCCATTGAGCTATACTGAAGAGTGTCCAGCGACACTCACAGAGTCTCTCATACCAGGTTGGTCAATGGTTAGAGGTCTGACAAACACAGTCTCCTGGCCCTCCAGGTTGGGGGTTGGAACATGTGACGACTTGTTCCGTAGAAATGGTAATGCATTTGCATTTCCGGCCAAACACCGCTGCCTTGCGGTTAGGCTTTTGAGCCAAAGGCTTTGGTTGAGGACCCTAATCGTCCTCCTGTCTAGGTGTGGGCGCCCTGGCAGTATCCCAGCCCACGTACAACCATGATACGGCAGTGAAGCATCGGTGTTGAACACTGATGTCATGCTGTAGATGGTGATGATGATGATGATGATGATGATGAGTGATTTCGTATTTTGTTGTTAGGTCATGTACTGCCTAGCCTTCTGTCGCTTTCACTCAGCACAGAACTGGGCGAAGAAGCTCTGCGAGGCACACGATCCTGTAGCATGCAAATTAAGTGTCCTAACTAGTGTTACCAACAAAGTATGGGAGATTTTTTTCTTACTGAAACCACCTGGTATACCTGAACGTTGTTAATCCGATGTTCCTACCTAATTCGGCCAACTCTTCGGGAACGCTTGTGACTAGGCACTTCCAACCGCCAAACGTTCTGTGTGCGTAGGCACCACGTTTTGTAATCCGTAAAGCAGTGTGGATCGCACTAGCGCAGTGTATACTCTGTCCCTGCAAGACAAACCGACGGCTCGTCGGCGTTTGGTGTCGGAATTTGACGAAAGCTGCCCTGACATTGTCAGTCCGGGGAGTTATCTCGTCTCCAGCCAGTTCATCGGGACTTATACAACTGCCGAGGTAAACAAATTTATCTACCACGTCTGTTGGCTTGTCTGCAAGCGTGAGTTCTGAGTTTGCTCTCAACCAGTCTTGTAGGAACACCTTACAATTTGAAGTGGTGACGCGCATGCCAAAAACATGCAGCATTATTTAGGCTATTTAAAATGGTTTACATCTTTGGCGGATCCGAACCAAGCAATATCGTCCGAATACACAGCGACTATGAGCGGACGTCCTGCGCGCATTTCGATCCCGGAGGTTCTAGAAGCAAGCAAAGAAGTTCCAGTCAGGCATCAATATAGGAATCGTTCAGCTGTAACACCCTTTTGGAGCCTAAGCGCATTGCAACCAGAAAGAAGCACGAGCGTTGGGATACTGCCAGGTTGCCCAAGGCTAGACGAGGGAAGTCGATAAGAAGAGCTTCGGTTCGAACCACGGACCTTCCGGTCATGTGAATGCTCGCTCTAACCACTGAGACTTCAATGATTAAGTTGAAATGGAATGGTGAGGGTGGGCAGCCTTGTCTTACACCAATAGACGTGTTGAACTCAGACAAAAGTTCGCCACATACTCATATGCGTCCACAGCAGTTCGCATACAGTGCCGTCATAGGGGATATAGATTTCGAGGTAAAACATTTGATCGCTGGACATTGCCAAAGTTCCTGATGGTCAGTGCAATCAAAAGCAGTCTTCAGATGAAAAACGACCAACATGGAATGTTTAAATGGGTGGCACTGGTCAAGAATTTTTTTAAGGTAAAAACATGGTCGATGTCCCTTGGGCCAGAGCGAATTCCAGCCTGGTTCTCACGAGATTCTCTCTTTTTCTACCGATAATCCAATCGCTGTTATTGGGTCAATGACAAACACCTGATCGTCTCACCTTCTTAATTGTGCCTATATGTCTCATGTCTATGAACAAAATATAGAAAAAAATGCTTTGGATTCAAAGCAAACTGTCATATCTTCTTTGTGATCAAAACAATTCAACCGAAAGGGTCATTTTCTCCGGTGCCTCATTACTTAGGTCATTGGTTACGGGGTAGTTTGACTCATAGAGTCTGAGTCATCTCTCAACGCGTTCTTTTCTGTGCGCTTATGAGTGTCATTCTTATATCACGTCTTACTTGTTTTCACGTTAAAAATCTCTGCCTCCCGTTGATAGAATGCATTCATTTGATCTGATTGTCTGATACCGTTTTGAATGTATTTGCTCACTTGTTTTGGGGAAAGAAAGAAAGAAAAGAGAAAGTGTTCAGCTGTAGCACCCTTCCGGTGCCTAGCTGCCATGCCACCCGATGGAAGCACGAGGGCTGGGATACTGCCAGGTTGCCCAAGCCTAGACAGGGGAAGTCGAGTGGCGGAGGTCGGATTCGAACCACGAACCTTCCGTTCAGTAATTTGGCGCTCTAACCACTTGGGGACAGTTGGCTTTTCGATTCCAGGTCTGAGGCACATGTATTTTCGCTGGTTATCTTAAGGTACATGTGGGTGTGGTCTTGACAGAGTAAAGATTTATCACCTGTGTGCTGGTTGTCCGTGACCCTCCTATCGTCCTTCTTATTCTTTTATCTCAGCAACAACACCTTGGTTTGAAGCATGGCGCTACGTCTTCATTAAAAGCCTTCAACCAAGTACACATGAATTTCTCGGACATTGCTTGGCCTGCATTTTTGTCGTCTCCACTCGAAACGGGGATCCTCTGGGGACGTTTTCACTTCTGACTCAGCAGCAACAACAACAGCAGAAGCAACAGGGAGACTCAACTTACCCCCGTTGGTTCAACAACTGTATTGCGAAATTCTACGTACTACTACACGATGCGTCAACAACTCCGCAGGCTAGGTAGGTTTTTCCCTGTTGACTGTTCCGAAAAGAAAACCCCGCTGTCATTTCATCGTCCAGGGTAGATAACGATAGACAGCGGATTCTTCGTACACTCCCCCCTAAGTATGTTGCGCCGTTGGTCGGTCAGGAAGCGAAACCTTTGACTAGTGATGTTTGGTATGGATTTAAATCAGTGGTTGTTGACTAGGCGATTGTCTTTTACGTTATCAAGTTACTGAGCCACAGTTAGTGTGTGCAGTCCGCGTTATACCGCTCAAACGCAGTGTTGTATGATGCTGTGTTCATTGCACCGGTTATCTTTTCAAAATCGTGCCCGGTGTTTTCGGACTTGAGTTTCGCGTGATGCAATCAGAGTTCGCAGTGTTGTTGAAGCCGATAGTCGTGCGACGACTGAAGCGATGCGACATTTTATGCACATCAACCTGTACTAGAGGAACGCCAGTTCAACTTCCTAAGAGTCCTACTGGTTTAGTCAGCAGACAGAGGTGTCAAATTCAGCCTGCTGGCCCTCCAGGTTGGAGGTAGAAGCAAGTGTGATAGCTTGTTCCCTAAACTTTGAGCTACTCAAGCTGGTCACTTCTTTCCGTCAGTATTTTGAGCCAAAGGCCTTGGTCGACGACGTTAATCGTCTTTCTAGGTTAAGGGGTTCTGGCACAACTTCAGCCCACTTAGAGTGATGAACTTCACAGATAAAAGTACCATCATACCATCACAAGCAATCGGTTTGCCTTAGCACATCGAAGGACTGCCCACGCCCCTTATCATTCTCCAATGTTGTCTCCTAACTCCTTTTGTACGGAAGCCAGCCGTCCCTAATAACCGAACATCACATCCTTTAGACGGATGTGTCACGTGCAGGACACGGATCAGAAGAAGGTATGCTTTGATTGGTCAGAGTACCAGCCAATCCGGATCGAGCATCTGACTTGACGCTTCTCGTCCCCTCACGGTGATTCTAGCACGACCGTGTGGAACACTCTGTGATTACTCTATGGATACAGATGTAATGATTCTCCTTTTGTCTCCATGAAGGGCTGTGTAGAGCTACCATGCCTTTTGATACGCCATAGTGAGCGGAGCAAGAAGCCAAGGGACCGATACAGAGTTACACTACCGTTCAGCAAGTCACAACACCTTTCCTCTCCCACTTGTTAATAACTCATATGACGGTTAAGCACTAGTATGTATTCTTAGTCTATAAGTGCCAGCGTTTTTGTTCGTTCTGTTTTTTAACCCTATGACTTGCGCAGTTACTTTGGGTTCCTTCTGTGAATGAAGTTACAACGGTTGGTTGTTCGAATGCATTCTTGCATTCAAGTCAGCCTGAACAGACTGTTTATCCTAAAACTATGACACTCAAGCTGGATCCCTTGGGTTGTTTTCGAATTGAGACGAGCAGTTAGCGGATGCAACCGGTTTGTTGGCAGAGACCGTCATTCATGCATGAGGTTTCTGATGGCTTGTGCGAAATGTCGCGGAGATATACGGTTTAACCTGTGCGTATGAATCTTCTTGGATGACGAACATCCCTCGCTGTCATTGGAGGGAAGTACGACAGTAGGAGCCCGAGGTGCCACGTCACTGAGTGCTTCTGTTTGGGTTGCTGCGTTTTGCGTTTATTTTCGTGGCTACCTCACTTTTACTTTGTGTACATTCTATTATGTTACATCGTTTTGTTTTGAGCGCTATTTTATTGTATTTCGTTTGATGAGTACCCAATGCACGCATACACTCTGAACCGTCCGGATTGTTGAGTCTACAACGGCGCCGAAGGTAACTTTTTTTATTTATCTGGGGGCCAGCCCATCCTAATAACCGAATATCACGACGGTTGTGTGTGGGCTATGGACTTTACAGAAGCGTGTCTTGATTGGCCACAATGTCAGCCAATCTAGACTGAACGTCTATAACTGGACGCTTCTCGCCCCCACTCACGAATAATCTAGTCCGGCCTTGTGAAAGATTCTGTGATGACCTTATAGATACAGTTGTAACAATCTTCCCTTGTCTCGTTAAAGGGCCGTCTCAAGTTGTCGTGCCTTTTGATTTACCATTGTGGGTGGAGCATCAGACCAAGGATCGACATAGAAGTTGCATCACCGTCAACAAGACAACTTTTTTCGTGACCTCAGTTGTACAGACCAACTGAAAATCCCTGAGCTATCCAGCCATGCGTAGGAGTCTTTTGAGTAGTGCAGACCCCAGATCATGTATACTGTCAGTCATAACTGCTCAGTTTTTCACCAATCAACCTACTTATCATAGACCACCACTTAGACATCCTGTTTATGTTCCGGTCTTATTCGTTCAGGTTCACATCGTGTATAGGGCATCCGGTTGGTTGCATACTCATCTGGGCGTGTGTTACTGCTCATATTGTACGCGAGCCCATCGTTTTAGTCCTATGTGGCAGGCGAATTCGGAAATAGGTACCAATCCACTGTACACCGTCTTTTACATACCACCAACATTCTATCAATCTAGTCCTTAAATACACCTAGGATATTCGCCATACTGAACACAAACAAGCTTATCGATCCACTATGTTGTGAATTGTCATAAAACCAAATAGGACATTTCGTACTCTATACCTTTTGTGATCTCAATTCACACAGTCCGATTGTACTTTCTTTTCCGCGCATTTTTCCGTACAACACAGCGCGGACGAATGTTTTGCCCAGATGGAAAGGACATTTGGTGCGGCCAATTGCTACTTGCTCACGCTATTCATCGGTGGGTCCAAACTTGACCGTGATGTGCCCGCGAAACCTTTGTCCAATGGATCAGTCATTTCAGATAACGGCACGCCCACCCCAATGTCATTAACAGACACACAAACTGATCCCTGGATGAGTCATCTGCTTCCCCATGGTTACCGAATACCCGCTGTTGTAGAGCCGAATCGTACGAACCCACCCAACTCGGTCCCTGGCAATTCTGCGGACGCTTGGGATCCTCTCAGTGGTGCTAATGATTCAACTCGTATGGGACCAGATCAGGTAGACCGATTTGGTGAGTAGTATTCTGTGAGTACGGTGCTCGGGGCAGAGTTGCGAGACGGTACAAAATTCATGTTTTCAGCCGCCGACGTCGTTTGTATGGCTGTTTTCGTTAGTAGCTGTCCAACTCCACCGGTTGTGAAGGCAGGTGTGGACACTCTGAGGGCGTCGTATTCCTGATTTGTTGCTGGTTCTGTTGATGTGCTCGATTAACAGTGAGATTTGGATGTAGTAGGTTCACCCTTTGACGGTTGTTAACTGTAACAGTCGTACGGGAATTGCAGAATGGTTTTCAGCCGAAGACACACTAGGTCAATCTTTCAACTGCTCATGATAAGCTGTTAGTTTGCTATAAGCATTAAAGCGTATTTCGGCTGAACATGTCGTCGACACCAACTAGGTTTATCGCACAATAAGTACACCGAGGTGCTCAAGTACTACGTGATGGCTCCCAATCAGTGCATCGTCCAGAGTTTTCATCGTCCCCATGCGTCGCATTGATTGATTGCATCAAATGGATGTTCGAACCTCAGTAAGCTTTCACTGTGGCCCAGCTGATAGCTTCGTTCCGCTCTTTAGGTTGGTGACAGACAGCTTCCACCGCCGTCAGGTCAATCGCCATTTTTTTACATGGATCACCACTTGATTTAGGCTACCGGTCTCCAAATCATCCCCTCCTTGAAATCACGAAACCGAATTCATAGATCTTAAGCTTTCAAGAACTTTTTATGCCGTTGATACGAGAGGCAATCACAGCTCACCATGTTTGATCTCTCGTACTTTACTCCTTCCAACTATCAACAATCTTCAAACAACGTGTAATCTCACTCTTATCATCATTCCCGTTTTCTTTCATGACCAATCTGCGCCCGAAATTTTCGATAGTTTTGCCTCAAATTTTGTTCATCCCTTCGTGATGTGTTTGACACTCACCAAACGATATTTGTAAGCTTCCCCTTTTCACAGTGACCAATTCACGTCCATCCTTCACTCTCACCCCTCGTCCGATTTGGGCACTGGCGAAAAAAGTCCGTCTCACACAAGTTGTGAACTGAAGTCATTTTTGGGTCACAAACTCTATACCTTGAATTGTGAATCACCACCACTCGGCTTCCAGGCTCCACGAACTGTTCTTACTGTTTTCTTACTTCATATTCGGCAGTGTAGATTGTCTTTTGATCTGTAAGCGGATCGTTTCCGCGATTTATTTTCCCATGGTGTTCCGGACTAATTATGGCCAGGTTAAATGAAAGCCAGTCTTTCAGAGGATTGACAAAGGTGACTTACAATTAGAGGTGGTTTTAACGTTAAATGAAGGTTGTGTAACGTTGTTGAGTTTTACTTGGCCGGAATCATTATTTTGTTCGGATTCGGAACCCAGTCTCTACGACCGATGCATGATTGCCATCACTAGGATAAATGCAGTTCATATCCCAAGAATAGTGAGTGCCCTTTCATGAGCACATCTTCAATTTTTTTGTAGTTTGTGTACACGTCTCCTTTTTATGTAAGGGGCTTTATGTTCTCAGTCTGCCGTCTTATTTCGCCCATTTAGGTGGGGACTCATGCGGTCGTGAAAATGACAGCAAATCCTTTGTCTCTCCGCGCTATTGCCAACCACACGGTCAGAATTTATCCCAAATCGATCGGGAACGCATCCGTTCTTTTGTGTACGATTTCGTTGTCCGGTGTTTGGTTCCCTGGGTCGAGCAGACAATGCGTGGTCTAAACGAGCAGGTATGGCCCGTTATTCGATGCACGGCGTGGGGCAGCATATTTCTGCTTGTTGCTTATACTACTCACAAACCCTAAAGGTAGCATGATTAAGAGAAATTTATCGAATGCGACCGTTGATGCATGATTTATTCGATGATTTTAGATCGCACATCGGATGCGTTTATCGCGTTCATTCCTGAGTGCTACCAAAAAGTTCTTCAGTGGAGCGGTCAGCGGGAATTCCACTGCTTCTAGCAGTACATCCAACAGCATTGCATCGCAACTCAACTCTGCGGGTATCTCACAATCGACTCATTTTATCACTTCCACGAGCACGCCAAGCCTGATTGGAATGATCGGTAGCGGAGGCAACTTGCCTCCAATGAGCAGTGACACCGTAATGGCTCGCAATTCCACTCTCGTAACCTCCAGGGAAGACGTTCGTACCCCTCCACCACCTCCGATGGTTGTGGTCTACACACCAGATGCTCCCGAAATGCAAATGCGCCGATTAGCGGACTTGGCCTTCCTGTTTCAACAGTACGAAATGGCCCATCAGACATACAACGTACTCAAGCGAGATTTTCAAAATGACTCCGCATGGCTCTATTACGCTGGTGCTCAGGTAATTATGTTTGCTTCGGTCGGATTGTTGACATTGCTGGGGCGAAGTTTTTGCCTGACGCTTCCTCGATGCGTATTGTTTAATCTGTATAAGAGTGTTTCAGTTGTCTCTGCGGTAGTGAGTTCATCCACCTACATAAGGAAAACGGAATATCAGAGGGACTTTCACTGTGATTTCTGCCATCAGTTCCGGGGTAGAAAATCCGAGTTTACGTTTATCATCATCATCATCATCATCATCATCGTCATCCGCAGCATGACGTCGGTGTCCGACACCGATGCTTCACTGACGTACAGCCGTGATTTATTCGAAAGCCTTGTTGTGAAGTAAAGAATAAAGGCTGACGGGTGAGGGACTTAGATCTAGTTTAGTACGATAGTTCCGAGATGCTTACACCTCGACTTCTCCTGTCTAGGCTTAGGTAACCTGACAGTATCCCAGCGCTCGTGCTCCCTTCGGGTAGCATGGCAGCTAGGCACCGAAATCGTGCTGCAGCTGCACGGTTATGTTTGTTATCTATTTGTGGGTGTTGTATCACCGACTTTAAAGTCGGGTTTGTCAGGCCGATGTAGGCGTGTGTTGGTATGCAAACTGGTGTTTCTGACAATCTGTCAACCCTTTGGCAGAACACTGTCCTTCGTCCTCGCCTGAAGGTCAGCTATGAATTCTGGCTCCCAATGTCAGCGACCCTATCCTGACCTAACGTTTCGAACGGTTACCCAGAGATTCAAAAGCAAAGTTGTGAAGTCAAGTCCCACGGATTGGTTGGTTGTGATTAAGTTCTGAGTTCATAGCTGACACCATCTGGAATTTGCTGATTGTTGTACGGCTGTGTCCATGGAGCCGACTCTCGCTTCCGCGTATTTTAACTGGTTAATATTAAGGTACAAAGCAAACACACCGGCAGTCGAGTTTCAAAGTCGTAGCGGACACGAGTGAATGCGGCGACCAGAGGCTGGATTTTGGTGTGCACGATCGTGGTATGATTAAGAGTGGGGATGGAGTGTCTTTGCTTGACAAAATCTATCAGTTACAAAAATAATTTCATTTCACGGATATGTCGGTGTTTCACCATTGTAGTGCGCACCTAATGAACTCCCTGAGCGATACGAACCTGCGGCTTTTTGCTTAGCAGCAGAACACCAAACGGTTTCGTCACTGGTGGCTAATCAACAGTGTGATCAGCTGGTACCTGGACAAGAAATATCACCTCCATCCCACAAACATTCAGTGTTCATCGGTCCCTCGACTGCTTACTTGTCAAATGGCAAATTCGTTAAACTCCTGGGATATTCTTCTCTCTGGAATGATGACTTAAGGGAGTCGGATGGCTCAGTGGTTAGAGCGTGAATTTACTGACCGGAAGGTCCGTAGTTCGAACCCGACCTCTGCCTCTTGACTTGTCATGTGTAGGCTTGGGCAGCCTGGCAGTATCCCAGCTTTCGTGCTTCCTTCTGATGACATGGCAGTTAGGCACCGCTGAACGAATGATGGCTTAAAGTTTGTAGGTTGTGAAGATGGGTTGAAATATACTGGTATCATTCCCAGTCTGCGTGATTTACTCACATCGCTGGTCAAGCGAGTGATAAGGTGTTCTAGATCTAATCGAAAATCTTCCAGTTCAAACCCCAAGTACGCGCTGCTGATGAATAACAACAAGGTAAAGTTGCTATTCAAGCTTCTCAAAATTTCATCGCCCACTGACCCTGTCAGTCTTCTTCAGATCCTGTGAACTAATTTTTTTATGTTCACCGGCCGAAGTGGTGTGGATATCTTGGCTCTCAGAAAAATATATGAAAGGTTTCAATACATCATACCGGGTCCTGAATTGAAGAACCTTTATCCAAATAACGTTCGCTCAGGGTGCGATGAAACTGACAACTGAGCTGGCAATTTGATTGCAGTGAGCGAACAAACCAACGACCATCTACGCTACCGGAGCTACCTACATTTTCCTCTGTAGAAAACTGACAGCGTCTGGATTTTCACTCACATGATTGTGAACCAACGACACGCTACCGGAGCTACCTACATTTTCCTCTGTAGAAAACTGACAGCGTCTGGATTTTCACTCACATGATTGTGGATTGCTTCACTAATTTTGAGACTAGATTACTCAGACAAACTCCCGATTTTGTGTCACTTTTCTTGCTAAAAAGGATAGTTATTGCTAACTTATCAAATCGTTCAGCTGAGGCCGTAATCACTTAATCACACGGCCTGAACGAGGCACGTGATTCTGCCAGGTGCCTCACACCCAGTTGAGAAACCAGTGGTGGAATGTGACTGTGAGTCTCTAGCCCGAGGGTTTTCATCAACTTCTCTGTTCTTCAAATGCATACTGGTTTTCCCAGCTGATAATGCCGGTGTGTGTCTGTGTGTGGCGTTTACACGTTCGGCGTGTTAGTCACAAGGTACGCAGTGGAGATTGAAAACGAAACGCACGATAGTCTACCGAGACCTTGTCCTCTGGCCATGCAGGATGTCACTGCACTGATAGACTGGAGTTATCAGCATTTGTTGGGCCCCTGTCTGCAGCGTTTGGCCCTATCCTCGATTGAAAAACTGGTAGCTGGACCATGATGTATTAGGTCATCTTTTGTGGCGTTAACCAATCCAACTGGGGCGAGGTTTAAGAAGGAAACAATAAACGAAACGAACTTCCCTTAGTGCGCCCATCTTTCCACATATTGACTCAGTATTGATTCCCTGTAAACTGATTCAGTCACTGGTATGTCGATACAAATTATTTTCGCCTTCCGTATGGTGAACGATTTAGTGGTTTTGGAAATTGCCTTATGTTATCTGCGCCCCTATCCTCACAATCTCACACTGTAAGATTGAATGCCCGTCTTTTTTCCGTGCTCTCCTTTACTTGTGTTGTTTACAACAGAGGTGGTTTAACTGTCCACTAATTTCACGAAGCCCCATTCCCATTTCTGTCCCTCATTCCAAACCGGCAACAACATGCGTTTGTTTTGGTGCACAATAGGAAATGTCGGCGCTGGCGATCTACATGCAAGGAACAACAAGCCAACGCCAGTATCCCTTTCACTATGTGGACTCTGCTGTTACAATTTATCTCCAGTCTTGTCAGTAAGTTTCGACTCTGTCTCTCTCTCTCTCTCGCGCGCGCTTGCGTACACACGCTCCATTTTACCGAGTCTCCGCTAATGTGGACCGACCGAAGAATGTGCCATGTTTTTCGGGTGAACTGATTTATGCGGTCAACACAAATGTGCGCGAAAAATCAGCTAATACGATTTGGCCTCAGGGGATAGCTGGCTGCCCCATCATCGTTCTGGACTGTATGAGTTGATCTGTTCCCCACACAGCTTTATAACAGATGATGTCACCTGACCTCGAGGTGCCGCGGAGTTTAAGGTTCACAGTTCTGAAGACCGAGGTTGCTTTTGTTTTCATGCGGTAGTATTTAGTTCTTTGGATTTCCTGTACAACGAAGGCTGGATGTGATCAGCCACTTGCTTTGAATAGACACCCAGTTACAAACAACGCAGTCAAGATCACCCGAGGAGGTTTTGATCCATGTAATTCACAACTTTCCATTTGCTAGTGGTTCGTTAGATTGGTTTGGTTTGAGTGTGAACTGACACGCACAACCGTGTGTGAGGATAAACATCATGGGGCCACAAGCTAGTTAGTTAGTTTATTTAGTTTATTCTTTTTTTTCACCCTTGACTCTCGATTGCGATCACGTTTCTAACGGATCTGCGGAGAATCTCTTGATATCTTGTCCGTAGACATGGCGTGGGTAAGATCTAACTGTGCCCATACATTTTCTTTGACTATATGCGGGTTTTAGGACAATCGCTTCCTCATCTCTCGTCCTTCCAAATAGAAAACGCGCCACACACTTTCTAACAGACTGGTTTGAGAGTCACTGCTGGTAGCAGTAACCATTTCGGATTGGTTACTGACATTTTTGCAATGCACTACTCATAAGGTTGCTGAAAACCTCTTGAGAGTTTCAGCTGGGTTCCAGGTGAGTCTCTCGAACAACCAAATTTGTTTGCGAATGAGTGTATTTCGGTGGTTACTGACATGTTTCAGCTGACTCGTCACCCATGATTCTAGCACGAAGGTGAGGTTATATAACGTCTCGTGATTAACTTTTCTGCATGTTGATGGAACCTGTCAGCTGGGTATGTATCGTTTGTTTTGATATTACCGCGAAGTCCGGTTGGTTGCTTGCTGTTTTAATCAGTACCCTTTCGGCCGGACAAACCAAATAATCACAAGTTCCAAGCTGCATAGGTCAACTTACGTAATCCTTCACGTTCAGTTCGAACGCTAAATACATAGCATTTAAGTGATCGAACGGTAGCGCGTTTTGGAAGGTTTTAGGAACTAGATAGTCGTCATGTAAACTCTTCATTCGCAACTCGATCGATCAGTCGTTAGGAAGCGGTGATGTGACCCACCGGTTGCCACTAGATCACCTTCATACAACTGTGAACACGAATGCGATCTGGTACTGCTTACACTAGGAAGCTGGGAATGAGAGCTCATCGAAGACATCAACTCGCCGGGTTCAACTGCGCGTCAGGTTGGAATAAAATCAAATGTATGCTGAAGCCCTGGGTGCTCGAATTTGGGTGATGTGACGGCTATACTAGTCCGCTTGTTCGTTCCATTTTAAGATTTCTCTCCAAACCATTGTACGCATCACCTCTTTACCCTGATGGACGTGTGATAAATTGGAAAGCAGTAGTTTTGACTGTATTTCAGATTCTCGGTTCTTGCTATGAAATGCAGACATATCAAATGTTCCATCCCCCCCCCCCCACCCCCGGGCGTTAACGATAAGGTCTGTTTCGTGTTCAACTGTATAAGCATGGGTTTACTCGGCAAATTTCTTTCAATATTAGCATACTCGTTATGGGTCTATTCGACTAACTAGCTCATTTGTTTTTTCTCCGTGAACATAATTGTTCGTTGAAATTTCTTTACCCACTGATGACATGGTTCACATAATGATTGATGTCCTCTTTTTCTTACCGTACGTTAATCCGTGTAAACCCGTTACGAAGACCTTTGACCGCGCTGGAATCAGCCTTTCTGCATCTTATTTTTTTACGTACGGACAACGTTGACTTGATTGGTTCCAATGGTTCCAATTCACTTTCAATTTTTTTTTCATGCTTACGTCCATAAACTTTGTTGCACTGAACTACCAGTCACTGTGGTAATTACAGATCATTCATCATTTCTTTGTCCGCTTGCCAAAGGTTGACCACATCCTGGCCCCTCGTGGCATTCACACGGTGGTGTGTATTGTCGTGGATTTGAACTGCCTGAAACCATACTTTTTTCACCTGCGATTTAACACTGTCGCACTAGGCAAGATATCAACTACTGATTGACCTTGCAGTTTGACGGCCTTGGGCACAGGGTTCCACCATCTGAGTATGAGGGATGGTGGGATGAGTAAACTCTGCCGAACGATGAAAAATGTAACCGACATAGGGATAGCACAGGGGGTAGCACTTAGTTTGCAAACGGTGCACACTGGTCTGCATATAACTAGATTGGTGGGAGGTTATCGGGACGTACAACACAGTGAGCTAACTCGGGAAAAAAAGGTTGAATTAGTTGCCTGCAGACGGAACGTCAGCGTCGGTCATTCGGAACAGAACGCACTCGCTTGACTCCAACCATCGTGGATACCCAGACTACTAAATGTATATTAATCAGTCAGTCTCGGGAATCGTACGATTTGGACACCGATAAATCAACCGCCAGAAGTAACGGTGTAAATGATACACTCGGGTTTCTGTAGTCGCGTTGCGTCGCACAAATTTACTGTACGGATGCGTCGTAACGCTTTATCGTCGTTGTTCCGCTGATTTTTCGAAAGAAAAAGACTCGTGAAGCATTTGACAAAGATGACGGTACATAGCGGTGTTATGTGATGTGAGAACAGAGACAGAAACTGACCGGATGGTCCGCGACTGAAACCCAACTGTGACATCTCAACTGCTTCTGTCTAAGCTTGAACATCCTGGTGGTGTTCCGGCCTCCGTGCTTCCTTCACGTGGCCTGACAGTCTAGGCACCGAGTTGCCTGAAAACTCTCCGGTTTCTGTAGATTGTGGTTTGTTCTGTCCCGAGGTCTGAGTCAGTTTAGGGTTGGCAAAGTGTTTTTCTAAGGTAGCTTTTGTTGAAAACCCCACCGTTGGATCGCACTGCTTTGCGAACTAACGGACCGGTTTGTATTGAACCGGAGTCAATTCCAAAAGAGCTTCTCCACCGATCTATTCAGATCCCCTTTTCTCAAATCCTCCCGCGCGCCGTTGAGGTCATCGAGGAAAGTGCATTGCATTCTACACTTCCACACTTGTTGACGATGCCTCAGCACATAGCTGTAACCACTGAGGTTTGAGGGCGTTTCCAGATGACTTAGTCCGGTGTTGTACCATGTACACTAAACTGTGCGCACATGAGAACTGAACACAGACCAGACAGGCTAGACAAGCTACTGTGTTCCGGATTAGATACGCTGGCGTTTGCAGTTTTCGATTGAAAAGGATCGATGTGAGATGGTGCTGGTCGTGTATGGGCGAGCCGTCGTTGACACCCAAACGATCATTATTTGGAAGTCTTCGTAGCCTCATCCAGGCTACCCTCGTGTGGTGCACGCACACTCTGCAGCCGATCAAGCCAGAACGCATGCTAGGGACTAAGTTTGGTGGAAAGCCATATAAGCTCAAACATATCCAACTTTAGTCGCCTGGATCATCTGTGAACTGACACACAGTTCATTGGTACATAGTTCGATTACTAATGATATTGTGGCATTGAAAAAACAACAAGCTCCGAACGGAATAATTCATTTTGATGATGTTCATCCAAATGTGTTTCGGATTTAGCGTTGATCCACCTGAGTGCCGCCAAATGGATGTGACACTTCCATAAGTCGACTTTTGAGCTCAGAATCTTACCGACACTTTTATCAATAGCCGACCGAGGGGAACACAGTGGAACCCGCCACCGCCTCTTCGTAATCGTTTTTTAGCCGAAGCTTTACTGGACTCGCTTGCATCTCTGTGCACATTTAGGTCTGTGCTGTACTCGAAATCGGTGATAGTGGTCGATTGGATTTTGTCAAGTCCACTCATGCGCCATCGTTTGTACTTTTTATGGGGTGTGCGTACTTTCGGATTCGATGACCTAAGCTAAGCTCCTCGAAACGTGATCACTCTCAACTCATCACGGTTTGTCAGTGGGTAAGCGATCGCGAATATGACAATGCGTTTGTGAATTCGACCAACTCACGAATATATATTATATAGGCAGGTACACGCAACAGAATTTGCGTGTATATGGATCATACGTCGTTCCATCGTAGCCATCGACCCGTTTTTGGTTGCACACAATTCGACCGCTTCCCTTCTCATTGCTCCGGTAACTGTAGTTTTGTGGACCTGTATGCCTGTCTTTTAGAGGGGATGCAGTATACACGTCCAAATTTCAAAGTTATGCTGTCAGACGTGGTTATCCTAGCGGTTCTGCTTGGGGAGTGTTGCACTTGATGATTCTGTTCTGTGGCAGAATCACTTGCATACTAACCGAAGAATGTTTCACCTTTGTGGCTGCAAATCAACCGCTTGTCCGACTGGTAACTTGATTTGGGTATACCAATTACGTTGGCTGGGCTTATTTCCGGAGCCACACACTTGCACTCTGACGGGTCATCTGCAACATCGTTAGAACGCAAACAACCGTTCAGATGTAGCATCCTTTCGGTGCCTAACTGCTATGCCACCCGAAGGAAGGACGAGGGCTGGGATACTGTCAGGTTGCCCAAGCCTAGACAGGGGAAGTCGAGAGGCAGAGGTCGGGTTCGAACCGTGGACCTTCCGGTCAGTAAATTCGCGCTTGAACCACTTGGGCCATCTCGCCCCCGACGCAAACTGTGAGCAGGTGGCCGGACGACATGTGGTCAGGTTGCTGCTCTGATAACCGCATCCAACCACGCCAGTACACCGATGTGGTCTGGGTTATCCACCGACGCGTCAACCTGCGGTCGGTCTGGATTAACAAAAAACCGCTATTCCACTAATATTCTCATATGAATACCAGTTTGGTTTTCACAGAAGGCTTTCCTGGAACCCACCTAAATTTCTCTTTCATGATGTTTTTCTTCAACTGAATTTACCGCCTCATATTTCGGTTGGTACGATATTCGAGACATCGGAGTACATTGTATGGACGTATGGGTTCCAGGTGAGTCTCCCGTGGAAACCAATTTGTTACGCAGATGAGGTACGCAACATGGGTTCAAGCAGAACATGGGTTTGACGATGACTGCGCCTACTTGATGAGTCCCAAAGAAGAGCGTAACCGGCCGTGGGCTGTCGATGAGATTTCAGCAACCTTATGAGTAGTGTAAAAGACCGCTATGTTAACCGTACAAGCATTTGGGGGGTGGAAATTCTTCAGTGCGGTGTAGCATACGAACCGGTTGGTTTATCTGTGACAAAACCCCTAGCATGACTAGTTGTAGTCTATTATGAGAAGCTACCAGACAACGTCCCGTACCAAATCGTAAGAAGAATTCCTGTACGTTTTGGGAATTCTGGTGCATATATACGATAATAATTAGCTGTCCGGAGATTCAATACACTGTTTCTTCTCTTTTGTTTTTCACAGGGCTGCTGAATTGGCTCTTCGCGCCACCCTGTTGAATGCCGAAGCCCTTTGCAGTCGCGGGTTGTATGCGGAATGTGCGATGAGCTTATTTCGTCTCACGTCTGAGGTTAGTACTTTGAATAGACGGTCACTCACTTTTCTGCGCGAAAGGTTGGATTGCCGTCACTCGGATTTCCGTTGTGTTCCCACTCTCGTCGCAATATCCGAATCGCTCAGCTCTGCGTTTATTACTGTCTGCATCTTGTTTCGCATTTTTCTTCTGTTTAGGATGATGATCTTACCAGTGGCCTCATGATAGAACAAGCTGCCCATTGTGTCCTACATCTTCGGCGTCCGTTACTGCGCAAATTCGCCTTCCGCATGGCTCTGGCCGCTCATCGATACAATCGTGCCAAGCAGGTTTGTTTTATATATCCATCGCTGATTTCAAGAATTGTTTTTCGACTCTTTCTTGAAGGCGTATATCCGGTTATGTTTGCCTGCCTATTTCAGGGGATATTGTCAGGATACCGTCACGAAGAGACTGGACCTTACCGTGGTGTGGCGGTTTGCGCACCTCAGCAATCCATTGAGCTATACTGGAGAGTGTCCCCGCGACACTCACAGAGTCTCTCATACCAGGTTGGTCAATGGTTAGAGGTCTGACAAACACAGTCAGGTTGGCGGGCGGGGGTTGGAACATGTGGCGACTTGGTCCGTAGAAATGGTAATGCATTTGCATTTCCCGCCAAACACCGCTGCCTTGCGGGGCTAGGCTTTTGAGCCAAAGGTTTTGGTTGAGGACCCTAATCGTCCTCCTGTCTAGGTGTGGGCGTCCTGACAGTATTCCAGCCCTCGTACAAATACGGCAGTGAAGCATCGGTGTTGAACACTGATGTCAAGCTGTCGATGATGATGTCAGGGTACCCCAACGTAAACAGGAGAACTAATAGGCTTGTCGTTCAGAGTCATTGGCTCAAAAGCCTGACTACAATATGACTTTAATTGATGCAAGACCGCCAGAGAAATCCAACTTCCTTAGAACACGTGGCCGCACTTGTTTCTTCCCTCAACCTAGAAGGTTAAGCGAATATAGATCTAATACACTACTCATAAGGTGACTGAAAATTCTTCTGCTTAGAAACATCATAAACGAGAGATTCAGTCGGGTTCCAGGTGAGTCTCCCGCAAAACCAAATTTGTTTGCAAATGAGTGTATTTCGCTAAGTCAGGTGACTATGTTTCGAATTTGTAAGGGTAACCTGGGCATGAGCGACCCCCAGTCGAGTTTCCTAGTATCTGTTGAGTTCTTCGTCGGAATCATCTAGGAGTTAAGGGCTCAACTAGGTATGTCATCTGTTTGAAGATCTGTCATGACCCAATCCCGTGGTTGAATCCGATCTCTCTGTACGATTATTGGCAGTCTTTGGCCAGCCCAAAAGTCCACCATTCTGTGCTGTGACACTGATGGAAGCGGAGAGTAAACAGTGGATCGATTGAGCAATACCTGTTTTTTGGATGTTGTACATTCTTCATTTGTTCGATAAACCGTATGGTATTGTTTTTTGTACAGCGAATTTGCTGACCGGAAGGTCCGTGGTTCGAACCCGACCTCTGCCATTCGACTTCCCCTGTCTAGGCCTGGGTGACCTGACAGTATCGTAGTCCTCGTGCTTCCTCCGGGTGGCATGGCAGCTAGGCACCGGAAGGGTGTTACAGCTGAACGATTTTGTACAGCGAAACTCCTCTACAGTAGCCTCAGACCAGATCGCTTGTAACCGGTCACTCGAGAGATTGATAGATTAAACGTCGTGAAGGCGTAGTCCGGAGTTTGCTTGTGAATCTGGAAGCCTCAACAAAACCATGAACTATCATCCCTCCAATTCAGAGGAGAAGCAATGGTAAAGTGGGGATCAGTTTGCTTCACATTGCTATCTGAAAGGCATACCCCAATTCATCAATCTCCCATCATGGATACATATCGAAAGGACTCAAACTGCGGGTTTGTATGGACGGATGTCTCTCCTCGTCTTATTTAGGCCTTGCTTTTGTTTTTCCTCCATCGCAGGCTCATTTAGCAATTCGGAGCTATCGACTGGCGGCTCCTTTGCTTGCTGGACGCTGCTGGAGCTTGGCTGAGGTAAGTACATAAATTAGTTTTCTCTTCAGTTGAGCGTCACTCACTCAGTTGAATCTTAAACTCCTTTTAACCTCTTTCATGATTGTCTCTCGCCTTCGTATCTTTTTTGCTGTGGTTATACGTAAGTCAACAGTGGTCTGGTTCTGCTGTGCCAAGAATTATTCCACGCCGAACTTCGTTCGTTCACTTTTCTTACCGTAATTTTCGACAGCTGACTGAATCGCATTTCTGGTCAAGATGAAGGTGTGCGAAATGCGACAAGCCTAAGGGCGCCAACCTCCCCCACGGATCGAACACGTGAACTCATAAAGGAGGCCTTGAATTATCAAGCGCCTCTGGAATGAACGGGAACATAGTGTACTAGCATCCTTGAGAAGTCGTTTCCACTCAGTACGGCGTTGTATCATAGCAACGTGGACTTGAGTAGCGTGTAGGCTCCGATTATCCAACTCTGACAATTGTTAGGGGGCGAGATTGTGCAAGTGGTAAGAGCGCGAATTTACTGACCGGAAGGTTCGTGGTTCGAATCCCACCTCTGCCTCTCGACTTCCCTTGTCTAGGCTTGGGCAACCTGGCAGTATCCCAGCCCTCGTGCTTCCTTCGGGTGGCATGGCAGCTAGGCACCGGAAGGGCTACAGCTAAACGCTTTTTTAGGTATGTAGACAGACAGATATCGATCTGGCTGTAACTATCCTTATTTACGGCCATTACTACCTTTATCTTACTATTCTTACCATTCTCCTGCCAGCATTGGACAGCTGTACAAGGGTTGAATCTCTCCATGGCTAGAGTTAGTTGTGTCGATCCTCGATGGTTGCTTCGCTAGTCCGCTTCTTTTGTGAGCACTCACGTGATTTTTGGTTGATGAATTCACAAGAGCACGACATATTGTGAAGCAGCCGTTTCTGTGAATCTGCTTCCTTGACAGTCCTCATATAGGTTTTTAAGGAATCCGCCATCCCATGACTGCGCACAGTAATCCCTCGAAAGTAGGCCACACTGTCCTTCTTTTCCAGGCCTCGAGCAGTGGCTAAAATCCTTTTTTTCGTGGTATCTTTTTCTGCGAGTGGAATAAGACCATCGTCATAATCTATCTCTGTGCAATATTATCTGCAGGATCATATCAACTACAACATTGGCAAGCAGGCCTATCTAATTGGTGATTTGGCCACCTCAGCAGCTTCCTTGCGGAAAAGCCTGGTACGGAACAGCAAGCAGTCGGTCGAGAGGCAAGCTTTATTTGTGCGGGAATATTTGGTTGTTCTGAAAGTAAGTTTGGCTTGAACCAATGGTGTACGTAAAATAAGTGAACGTGTGGTCATTGATGCGTTCCCAGCTGGGTCTGGTTGTCGGTCTGTTCGCTTGTCAACAGCCCATGTTCGGCGCGACCGTACTGTGCTTTCGACGGTGGCCTAATGACTATTTATTTATTGGTTGCTACTCTTGCCGTTGTTTCCACCATCTTCCAAGGAAGAAAGTGTTCTCTGAAGAAGTTTTGGCCATGGAGAAAATGGTCAGGTGATCTGGACTATTTGGTGCCAGTTCTAGTGCTGCTTAACTTGGCGATACTTGCTCACCCTCACATCTTGCCGTGTCATAATCAGGGAAAGAGGCAGTCCTTCGCGCTGTTGGTGACAATGTGTTGGGAGTGCAGACTCGCTGTTTACCANCTTCGCGCTGTGGTGACAATGTGTTGGGAGTGCAGACTCGCTGTTTACCAGAGTAAGGTTTTGTGACAACTCCGGGTGAAAGCTGACAAGACTATTGACCACGTGAGCTACTAGCCCGGAGGCTCGGACGCAATCCTGGTATTTCGACTCCTCTTGGACAAAGTGACAATACCTTGATCGCTGGGTTTTTTCTTTGGGTTCAGTGGTAGCTGTGCAACGAACGATTCAATGATTGCTCCATTATACCGGTCTCTTTAATCAGATAGGATGAGAACGAAACCAACATGACCTTATGGGTCTTGGAGAGGACTTTCCAATAGAACCAGTATGACATTACTGGTGTTGTGAGCTAGCTTATGTGTGATGAAATCCCACTGTTTATCATATTTCCTTACACCCCTTTCCATGGTATGGAACCCCCCGTAGATTGACTTCAGTCCCAATCCGTGTACATTTTTACCGAACGAAAGGATGACGGACGTCCCTGTTGGCTGTTGGTAACAGGATATCGTTTACACCTATTCCGGTCGTCAGCATGCTACTTGTAACATACTGTCCATCGCAAACAGGTGACAATATCACTTTCTTCGTTGTTTTATTTTTGGCAGTGGCTACATTACTAAGAACGGCCACAATGAGGCGGGATCTAGGATCTGCCGCCTCATCATCATCGACATCATGACATCAGTGTTCAACACTGATGCTTCACTGCCGTACAACCATGATCTATTTGAAAAGAAGGGAGTAAAGGCGGAAGGGGAAGGGACTTAGTGCTAGCTTACCACAATCATTCCGAGGTTCCTACACCTCCAGACATTCACTCAGACGATCTGGATAGAAACTGACAACAAGCACGCCACTGATATCGGTTGGCAGCCATATCTTGTAGTGTCTCCAACCAGGCACGGTGAGGATTACGCGGTCCCCATCCTGGAAGGCGAGTAGCACCAACAGCACCCAAGCGTTTCGTGATTTCTTTCATACTCCTTTGCCAAGTCAAGGGTTGGCCACCTCTCTGTTTACGCCACTCTGAGTTGGGCATGGAAAAGAGCACTCTCTTTGGTAAACGATGGTTTGGCATACGCAACACACGTCCCAACCAACGCAGCTTCTGGTGTTGAAGACATTCTTCAATGGAAGTACCCGTTACACAACCGAAAACACGCTTTCTAACTGCCTCATTACGGATTCGCCGACACCAGCCCACGCGAGCTATGGTTCGAACACCTGAAGATGTCTCAGTTCCGCCGCTCGAATAGGCCAAGTCTCACATCTGTACAACAAAACAGCCCGTACTATACACACGTCCCCTGGGATTCAGGGATACATCACTTTTTACGGCATAGGTGTCTCTAATTAACAAACGCGACCCGAGCCATGCAGATTCGTGCATTCACCTCATCTGTCACACCACCATCAGAACTAATACCTAAAACGCTCCACATGTCGCCTTATAATTTCTGTTTGCGTCTACAGACATTGAAGTGTGCCCCCACTCTGAAACCAGGTTTACATTCTCCACAAAAGCCTTCTGTAACAAACTACCCACCAAACATTCCTTCTCTGCCGCGCATTCGAAAACTCTTTCTGTTCTATTCCAGAAACACTTGTCAATTGCCGCCACAGACCGTACCAATCGAACCATGCCAGAATTCCCTCTTCCAACTGTCCGTCTAAAAGATGTGAAAACTATGGTCGGTAAACCCACGCGTCTATCCAAAGGTGAGTGCGCTTCCTGTTCTATCCATCGTTTCATTTCTCTCGACTCTCCCAATTTGCTTGCATCCTGAAACTTTTACTCGATTATGATTGTGCTTTGATACTGTGCTCCAGTGTGGCTAGACTCGTTGTGTGTGTGCTTGCACGTCGATACAAGTAAGATTTTGGTTTCATTTATCTGGCAAAGTTCTTGTCAGTGTTACTCTAGCGGTACCGGTACACTGTTTCCGCAGACTGGGTAGATTTAGGAAAGAACAGTCGTCTTATTGAAACCGTCACCACCGGGCGGGCCTACACAAGCACCATGAACTCAAATCCAACCCTATCGCACCACACAAGCGGTGCTCTTCATACCCCCCCCCCTAAAGTTGTGTAGTTGCGACGCTCCAAATTCACACTCCTCGACTGTTGGACGTGGTGGTCTTCTGTGATGGATTTTTCCACCATCGAAGAGAACGTTGGGACGGCTTACGGTGTGTTTTGAACATGTGATTCCCACTGGGTAGCGCAAAGATTTTTTGGACGAGGCCCAGTGCTCCGGTCGAATCACGGTTAGAAAAGCTTTTTTGCATTCAGCTACGACTTTCCAGCCCGGTACGTGATATACCAATTCACTTCAATGGGTTGCCCAAGGTTGAACAGTACGGATAGGTTTGTCCAGGTACATTCCCATTCAGCTCAACTGTAACTTTGCTCTCAATTCGATGCAATCAGACAGCCCACAGTCAGAAACACCTACTCTGTTCATACCGTCCCATATTTATGTAAGCCTGTGATGCTTTGTTATTGGAATGCCAGCAGTCTGACAATGTTTTTGTTTTCTCATTTTCCCGTTAAATTTACGATGCGTTCACCATTACTGTAGCTCATTTGCAATCACCAATCACTGACAATACCTCAAGTAAGAAAGGCCTTTTTTCGGTTTTGAATGTCTTGTCTCACATTCCGTTTCACGCTAATAATCTTGTACGCTTACGCACGCCTTCTGTGAACACACACATGCAATACCCCCTCACTCCCCCCGAATAGCCGTTCTTTCCTTATGTACTTTAAGTGTAAATAACGGACGCCGAGTTCTTGTAATAACCCAGAGAGGATTTTGTCCCCCACTACTCATAAGATTGCTGAAAACTCCTCGACAGCCCACGACCGGGTTCCCCCTTCTTGGGGCTCATCATGTAGGTGCAGTCCCCGAGTTTCCGTCAACCTTATGTTCTAGGATTTTGTCCTGTTTCCTCTGCCGTACCGTTTGCATCCATTGTACGGCACCTGTGTCACAAACCGGAGCAGACGAACTAGTGTTGAACACTGATGTCATGCTGTCGATGATGATGATGACCGGACCGCTCCCACTCCCATTCAGTTCAGTTCTGTCCCACATACGAAGCCAGAATCAACGGTCCACCGATTCTCATGCTCATGCGTGTCCTCAAAAAACGATCAGATCATGGTCTTGCAGCGAAGCCTGACAACCTGATCTAGGGGGCGAGATGGCTCAAGTGGTTAGAGCGCGAACTTACTGACCGGAAGCCCGACCTCCACCTCTCGACTTCCCCTGTCTAGGCTTGGGCAACCTGGCAGTATCCCAGCCCTCGTGCTTCCTTCGGGTGGCATGGCAGTTAGGCACCGAAAGGGTGCTACAGCTGAAAGATCTCAAAATCAGTCGAGTTGACCACTGCACTCTGTTTGAATGGGGATTCCAAGACAATATACGAAAAGTGTTGGAATCACCACTGCATAACTTCAGTTCAAGACTCTGTCTTCGCCAGAAAAGAAAAACAGAATAACTCAATTTCTGATGACTTTCTGGCCGTCATCTCCATTGTGCGGCTTTCTGCCACTTCCCTCTGGTTTTAGTGAACTAAGTGTATTTTTTCACCACATGGTTTATCACACTATTTGAACGCCAATGCAGTTTGCCCCTGTAGTTGTCGGATTTCCTAAATGAGCCAACTTGTTGGTCCGAACAACGCTAGTACTGCACAGTCGGTCGTTGTCGTGTGTCCCCGTGTTTATATCTCGCTGCGCCATCCTTCGAACGCACACTATATGCACGTCACTTTTGGTTTTCCGTGACCCCAATTATGATGGGGATACATCGTGTATCGACTACGCAAGCTGTTGGAATTCCCAACATCCTTATTTCCTCATTGTTCTTTCTTTAACCACCGCACAATGGATTCCAGTTATACCACAATCCTGAGGTCTTGCTGTGTTGCTCGCTCGCTTTGCTTAACGGTGGTCTATTGTTATTGATCGTGCGTATGCGAGTTTCACACTAGTCTACTCCGTGCGTGATCGATCGGTCTGTTTTCTTGTCTCACACAGAACTACCGATCGAGGCTCGTGGTGTTCAGTTCACCGATGATGACGAGGACTTTATTTCGCCCTCAAGTTTATCCAAGGAAGATCTACACGAAGGTTCGAGTCGAGTTGGTTTTAAATTTCCTTGGTGGATGGAGGGTACAGATATGAGCGACTCCGAGTCAGACAGCGATCAGGATGGGAAGACAGAGCAACGAGAGGAACCAGAAAACCTTTTCAATCCGTTTGATCGACCTCCGGTTGAATGCCAGCCGGTGCGTGATAGCATTGTGCTGACCAATTCACGGGTTGCTCGCCGACTGGAATTGCTGCTCCAACGTTCCACTCTCATCGCTACTGGCAAGAACACTTCGGAACGGGAAAATCACGCGGCGGCTAGGAAACTCTCAGCTATCTCCAACCCATTCACCATGTTGCATACACGGAGATCAGTGCGACACCAGAAACCGTTAGTGCCTGCCGGAGGTAATTTTTTGTTTTGCACCGTTCCCTTCCGTCCAGGATCCCTGAACGTGGTTATCCAGTTATTGTTGATCGGTGTGTGATCGCTTGATTTGTTGAACTTGACTAACGAGTCGCTCTCGAGCGACTGTATTCGAGACGTTTTTTTATGAAAGTAAGTTAATTTCCACACTTGAACATCCCAGGTTTGCCGATGCCCTGATGCTCGCAATACAGTGCACAAATCGCCGCTAGACACGGACGATGTTGCCTAGGTTAGTGAAAGAAAGCATTTTCAGCAAAAACTTGCCTGGCTCGACTAGCGCTTCAACCATCAACAGAGTGAAGAATGGGTCGAACCCTGCGGTTGCCAGTGTGTTCTGGCCAAATCCAGCAAGATGGATGGTCCGAACCCGCACGACTGTCGTGAAATTTGGACTCTGCAACGACGGGAAACAAGTCTTGATCGTATCGAAAGGGCATTGAATTGATGCGTGCTGCCCGTGTATCACTGTTCTAGTCTCACCAATTGGCTTTGGTCTCTCCAAGGTCGGGTCGAGATTATCTTACTCATGTTTAAACTGGACCTCCAAGAGCTATTGAAATCCCAACCAAGCAAAAACGTTAACTACTTGTTCCAAGTGCTTAGCGCGCGAATTTACTGGCCGGAAGGTCCGTGGTTCGAACCCGACCTCTGCCTCTCGACTTCCCCTGTTTAGGCTTAGGCAACCTGGCAGTATTCCGGCCCTCGAGCTTCTTTCTGGTGGCATGGCAGTTAGGCACCGAAAGGGTGCTACAGCTGACCGGTTTTATGGTAACTGAATTCCAGCATTTCCCTCTAGTGTATTGTGACCAATTCTTATGTTGTTGACGCGGACACTCGTCCTGTTCTTCTTCCTACCCTACTTCCAGAGTCCATTACTTGTCAAATTCCTCTCACAAACCCGATGCAAATCACACTGGTCTTTTCCAGTTTGCATTTACTCTGGTCCTTCCACCCGAATGCCAATTGTCCCGATAATGCGAATATCAGGCCAGTCTCGAATGAGACCCTTCCGGATGAGTCTGCAACACATCGGTCAAGGCAGTGCATGTCGACGGAGATAGTCTCGGAATTTATAATGCTACCGGAAGAAAGCAAAACGGTAAGGCTTGATTTCTCATCTCTACTCATCGTTTCGTCTTGATTACAAACCCCATCTGTACACTGCCATTCATCGCAACTGCTCACGCACTGTCAACCACTGTTACATATCCTGGGGTGTTATGAGCTTGCTCCATCCTACATGTCTGAGACCATCACCGAACATGGTTTCCTCACGCGAATTACTGCCCACCTACCCCACTACTTTATTGTTCTAAGTAGTTCTACTCTGATCGGCTTCTCCTGTAACGAAATCTCCGTACGACTGATTGTGTCGGCAAGACCACCAGTTGAGTTCGAACAGTATTGATCGAATACTCAGATGGTAGAATTCTTCAATGAGTAACACCAAGTAGAAAAGTCAAAATGTCCCTGAATGCGGGCTGGCTTGGTCTTCAGGGATTTTTGCCGACCAAATACTGACTTAAGCCTACTTGACTTGATTGAGTCTATAACCCCTGAATAGTTGTTATCTACACTGCTTTATTTTCGGTGACAGGTCAGCGGCAAACGGACTTAGTCCTTTGGAAAACCTGACAACTCCAGTGGTTATCATAGGCGCTTCTTGGAGAACTTTCCCCAGGCTTTTCATCACAAACAAGGCCCTTGCTTATCCATGTTCCACAAATTAGATGAGTTTCATCCATGTTGATTATATCACCATCTAGGAGATCTGTTAAATATTTGCTGAAGCAGACGTGATTTGATTCTCCGGAGCCGGTCATTGAGAGTCATAGAACCGACGCGTCCGAATGATCGGCTCAATTTCACCATCTGGCCATCTCTCCTAATCGTTCCAAACCGCTGCTTCATACAATCCTTTAGTAACATGAAGTTTTTCACCCACAACTCTACGGGCAGAATTGACGTTTGTTTACGGCCCTGAAGAACCGGTTCCCGTCTCTGATTCAGTGGGATGTCCTTAATTTATATCGGGTGTTAAAAATAATCCGTTACTGTGAAATCTTTCCCTGATAGACTGACTTTAGTGTACCACAGAATGAATGAACTAATGCGAATTCCCCTGAACTATGCCTGAATTGCATTATCGATTATTTTGTTCTCGTTTCCCCTGGCTTAGTTTACTGAACGGATTCTACTAGTAGCGTAGATGGTCGTTGGCTACGCTACCTGAGCTACCGACATTTTCCTCTATAGGATTCTAATAGTATTGTATCAACTACACTCCCCAATCTTTCTGCGTGATATGTGGTGTGTTCCGATCGGTTATCGGCGACGAATTCATTTCCGTAGTGTTGGTGCAACCTCGTTCATCAGGGCGAAAACGCAGTCCTGATATCATTGTTTTCAGGAAGACTAACCACTTCTCTGTGTTCCAGTCTTTGAGTCCTTATCCGGAACAAGGTCCGTCTCCTTTAGTGCTTTGTCCCTCATCTGGCGTTCGCGTACCTCAGTGTCACATGACTTGTTTTCTAGACGACCAGCTGGACGAACGGGTAGTTCTTAGTGGTCTGGTCAGATCAGACTGCCTCCTCTGGCCTGAAGTTGTTCTGCCGCGTCTGACTGCAATCGAGTGAATTGAATTGATGAGATGTTACTGTATTCCCTGCATTGTATGTCGAAGTGCAGTGTGTCTAGCAGTCTCAAGTAATGCCAGAACACGTAATGTACTGTTATCCAAGGTATAACGATGTATTGGTTAGTTTCATTATGAATACAATTCACTAGAATACCCATCCAGACTTTAGTGAGAATCTTGGTTGGAGTGTACTTGTTCACTGCTAACAGTGGGACAGTCTTTTGTGAACACACTATTCGGGTACCCTTTCCCCTCCCGCTTCTTAATCCCTCGAGACTATTCCCGACAGTGATTGGGCATTGATTTATTATTTCTGTTATCAATTTATTATTTATTGTTAATTTATCAAATTCCTGGGTATTCGGAATGTCAAACGTAAATATGGATGACTTGCTCTGTCTAGTACCTGTTTTTTCCTCGTTCAGCCCAGTTTTCTTAGCATCTGTTTGTTCTTTTGCCTCTGTTTCAGCTTGAGATCGGTCTCCTTACCAAAGAAACGGGCCACTTACAGATTACCGGATTGAGTTTTGACTGGACCTATTCACACGGTCAGAAACAGTCACAGGACAAACCTATTGTCACGTTCACTGCGGGCGACCCGTCAGAAGATCGTCCCATCGAAGGCAGGGCTGTCACAAACGGCACTGATGCCTCTGTCACCCAACGCGCTTCTTCTGACCAGTCCTTCGAGCGAACTTGTGTCCGCGGTAAAGTTTTGTTGTTGGAACCGAGTAAAGGTACGATCGCCGCTCACGTCAACCCAAAGTCCCTATCATCTCCTCTCACATGGGATGTGATTGACCCTGCCCCCTTGCTAAAAGTGAGTCGATCTGGTTTCGATTGAATAGACCATGAGTTCCACCTCGATAAACAATGCCTTCTTCGTGTACCAACTTCTTTTTCTGCGCTTCCGTCAGTCATTCTTCATCAGAAATTTCAAATGCTGCGTCGCATGTTCCGCTCTATTATCATTTATTTTTCAAGAGCATGTTCACAAATGTAAAAAGTGAATGCAAGCGATGAATGCCAAAGGGTAACAGGAGAATATGGGAGAAAAGAGAGAAACGTCTCATTCGAAATCATGCCAAGAACACTTCCAGTCTGATGAGGTGAATCCCAAAGTATGTAAAGATTTTGGTATGGAAACACGCGCCTAAAGACCAACAACCGAAGAAAGGATAAACAATGTTGAATGCTCTCCAAGGCGCGATAGGCGCTAGCACAGTCAGGACTCGCACATCAGGATCAAAGTGTCCGTCATACTGGATCTGGTGTGAGATCAAAGGTACACAAAGGTACATTCAACGCCATGTGCCACGCATAAAAGTGTCATAAGTACGCAGAGCCCACAATTGCGAGCAAACACAAGTCACCTGACTGCGACTTTGAAGTCCCAGTCCAATAACAGCCTTAGCTTGTCTAGCAGTATTTTCCGGCCTGATTGAACCGAATGTGTCAGTTGTCTCCCTGTAATAACGGTGTTTTCTTGGTTTAGTTCTCGGTCTGAACCTTCCAAGCTGGCGTTCCCGTCAAAACAACTAACCAAGGTGCACTACGCCCAAAACCATTTAGAGCTCCTCGTGTGTAAAGTGTTTGCGGTGACAACATTTTGGAAACTCCACTGCCTTGTGGACACGCTATTGGCAACCGGAAATCGGTGGACACTGGTTCATGATTGGCTGTTGGGTCCAGACTTTTGACCAATCCAAACTTGTTTTGATGCTGGACCGGCAAGTGGCCCCATCTTTTGGCCAATCGCTTGCCGGATAGGCTTCTTGGCTGTAGCAGCACCTAACTGTGAGTGATAGGGCGGTATCGATTAGGAATTCCGCCCAACACTCGTAGTTACCCACCACCGGGAACCCGTGTTTCCACTATATATA